CTTTCTAAAGACATTCTCAGCCTTTGGGTTGGTGGAAGTTAGTGTTCTGCTAACTTAATACACTCCAAAGGATTTTTATCTGTTAGTCACAGGTTTTATCTGTTACTACGCAGAGATGGTTAATAAATGGTTAGTTAAAGGGCTCAAGATATCCCAAGAAAGGTAGTAATTAGTCTTTGGACCTGCAACATTCCAGCCTCTCCATATACTGAAGTTAGAGTTCTAATCAATCAACCTTTGTGGATGCAGCTTCTTCTCAAAACTTTTCCTTCAGTCCAGGCAGTGGTGGCGCACGCCTTTAATCCAAGCACTCGGGAGGCAGAGGCAAGCAGATCTCTGTGAGTTCATGGCCTGCCTGGTCTACATAGTGAGTGCCAGGACAGGCTCCAAAGCTACACAGAGAAACCCTGTCTCGAAAAACAAAACAAAACAAAAAACAAACCTTTACCTTCGTAAAAGACAAAAAAGTAATAGGCCCTGCTTAGGGAGTCTGAGGCTGTGTGTGTGTGTGTGTGTGTGTGTGTGTGTGTGTGTGTGTGTGTGTGTCTTGCAAAGGTGAGTGTGTATGCTTGTGTATGTGCATGTGTGTGTGCATGTGTGTGTGCAAGTAAGTGTGTATGTGTGTCTATGTATGTATATACATGTGTATGTGTGTGTGTGTGTGTGTGTGTGTATTTGTGCTTTTGTGTGTGTGTGTGTGTATGTGTGTGTGTGTGTGTGAGTATAAATAAATCAGTGACTTCAACCTGAAAAAGAAGTGTTTACTACATAGGAAATGACAGAAAAAAGAACATTTTAACTGTTTAGAGAGCATGCTGAGTGGGTTAAAGAAGAAGGGAAGTTTAGGCAATGGTGAATGAGCCCAAGAAGACCAAGGCGTACGCTATTTGTTTTAACTAAAGACAAAAAATAGAAGGGTATTCAAGGAATAAAAAAGAGTTTTATGTGGGAGGAAATAGCTGGATTTGGCTAGATTCTTTACACACACACACACACACACACACACACACACACACACACGTGCCCCCACTCCTCACATACACCACACACATATGCACACATGCCCTCCACACACATTTTAACCAAAAGTTTTTCTTCTATATTACTGAAAGCATTTTTATATTTTTGTTTTCATAGTAATTATTAAATTTTAGAACATGAAATTATATTATATTTTATTTTTATTATAATTATATTATATATATATTATAATTATATTATATATAATATATTTATATATAATTATATTATGATTTATTATTAAATTATATTATATTTTCTGAAAATATATTCAGAAAATAAAATGCATATTAGCAAAATTAATATAAAAATTAAAGTCTCACCTACCATTCAGTGATAATCATTACTGGCATTTGAGAGGATAGCCTTCCAGAATTTGTCTCCACTAATGTAAATGTATGGAAGGGCACATGTGTTTGTACATAAAAATATTTAAAAATATTAAAGCATATTCTCCCTCCTAAAGTCTGTTTTAATACCACACACACACACACACACACACTTGGAAATAAAAATAAAACCTTGAAAACACAAAATATATACAAGGGGTATATACACTAAGAGAATATATGTAATATGTAATATTATATATGTAATATGTAATATGTAATACACTAAGAGAATATACTTTTGGGAAATACATATGAATGTATTTCCCAAATGTGAGGCCTGCAGGAGCTAGAAGAGGACATGAGATCCCCTGGAGCTCGAGTTAAGGGTGTTGCTGAGCTGAGGGTGCTGAAAAGCTAGCTCAGGTCCTCTGGAAAAGTGCTACATACTCTGACCTCCTGAGCCATCTCTCCAGGCCCCATGCTTCAATTTTTTAATACCTCCTTTATGTAGCGGGAGTAGCTATCAAGTTAACATGTTTTCTAGGAGAAAATTGAAAAATAGACTCTTTACTTTCTGTTTCGATCTTTCTTTCCATGTAGCCGTTCTGATGTACCTATCTTGTATTTATATACAGAAGATCTAGAATCCAAAACCTGTGGTTCCCTTTTTAACATAAATGAAATTCATGTCCTCTCTCTTTATTCCTTGAGGCTGATTTTATAAGCCCAATTTTAGAACTTTACATTTATCCTGAATAGATGTCTCTTTCTCTCACTTTAACAAACATTTCTGATTTTATCAGTAAATATATTGTTTTCCTTCCTGCTTTCTGCCATCTAAAAATCATCTCAAAGTGATTTAAAAACTAAAACAGTTAGAACTCTGTTTGATGTCTTCCTGGAAAGAACTTCTTCCATGTGGGATGCCTGTGCTCTTGCAGCTGTAGACATTTTTGGCACAAGCACTCATCTGTTTGTGCACACCTATCCCAACACCTCACATAGCCAGGGCCACTGGCACTTCACATATGGCAGAACAAATAGCTGCTTATGTAGCCACCAGCTCTCTCATTTATACTCAAAGTTGATAAAGATAAAACTGGCCTGAAGACTTTTTTATTGCTTACTTCACCTTATCAGATAATTTTATGACCAGTAATACAAGACCCCATTTAAAGAATGAAGAGAACAAATACAGTTCTTATACATTTCTGCCAGAGGATAAAAGGTAACAGCTTCTTTGCCACACTGTTTCATATCATCTAGTAAACTTAAGAAAGTAATTCCCAGTTGCTTAGCAATTTCACTTCTGGGTGATGGTCAAATAACATGAATAATTTTTCCACAAAGGAGCAAACTGAAATGTTTTGGCAATCTTATTCAGAATAATCCCCAACTGGAAATTACTCAATTTCATATGGCATCATGTCTTCAGACAGCAGACTAATAGACATCGAATAGGTTTGATCAATTGATGTGTTCAACAAGTGGGACTAATCTCACACACAACAAATACTTGGAAATTAAGACTTTCTAAAGAGCATGTATTTTTGCTTATGTCAATTCTAGTAGCAAACGAAACTGTTACCTGTTGAAGAAGAACCTACTGGAAGAAACTACTGGTACAAGAGGTATTCTAGATCCCAGTGAGATTGGGCATAGAGAGTTAAGTGAATTACATGAAGAGTCATCAACTCTACAAGTATGACTTGTGTGTTTTATTCTATGCATGTGCATTTAAAAATGCAAAACAAAGATATTTGCAATAAAGCATAAAGAGAAATGGCACTATAGGCAGTCAGAGGCTGGCTCAATGAGTGGAGATAACAGATGTGAAGTGCCTCAGCAAACTCTGAGGCAGTAACTTACTGGCTGCCCACAAGTTCTGTAGGCTGGTGTCTCATAAGTGTTAGCATATATGTGTTACAATGGAGATCTTGAATGAAAGTTATGTAAGTTAGAATTCTATATGAATAGAGTGGTGCCTGAAAGCTTTTAAAAGCTTCTAGATAATTCCATTGTTGATTGTCAATGAACCATAATTTAGGGGTGAGCAAGGAAGTTTGAGAAGAGTGGAGCTTAACCCAGGGAAAAGGTTTTAATCAAATCCACTGGAAAGGTCCTCTTTTCCAGCAATTTAAAACATAGACAACATGGGGTGGGGGGGTGAGAATGAAAGTTCCAACCTTACATACCCTGAGCCAGGAAAGGGGAAGGGGGATGAAAAATGAGGAAAGAAAAACATTATACAGAGCCATCAATACCCAGGGAGGGCATCACTGAACTTTGGGATGGATGGAGCAAAGTTATCCAAGACAGCTTGAGGATTCTAGCCAGCCAACACATAGGTAAATAAATGTTAATGTACATTATTTTATCAGATCTTTTGATCAAAAATGAGCTTAGGAGGAATGGATGTCATTAAAACAAAACTGGTTTTTCATTTATTTTGTTTCTTATTTTTATTTTGGCTTAGGGGATATACTGGCAGAGAAGGAGCTTAGAGGAAGAAGTATGGTAGATGGTCTAAGGATAAACATCAAAGCAGAAGATGTAGGCTGAAGAGTTATCTAAGCCAGCACTGCCACAGTCACAACTAAGCCCCTAAGCCTCAATGGCTTTCAAAAAGATTTGTGTTCAAGCCTGCCTCTGCTTGGTTCTGCTCAGGATCAAGAGCACATTCTGCTCCCTTCAGGGAGATGGAAGAACTTGCAATGGATCCTAAGCTTTTGCAAAGATTCATACAATGTCTGTCCTCTGGCATTTATAAGCCAAGACACATAAGAACAGTCTGATATGAATGGGTGCCCCACTACAAGTCATATTGTGAGAGATAGAGGAATGTAATTCTTTTACAAGAAGTAGGGACAAGGTGGAAGAATAATGCCATACCTCCCCCACCCAGGGATGTACCAAGGCAAACACTTCTAGCTCTCATGTGTCCTTTTGGTGCTTACAACCAGTCTGAGGTCTCAATTTCTTTATTGTTTTCATTTTAATTCAACAGTTAAATATCCACAGCATAAAATCTTTCATTCGTGTGAAGCAAAAATGGACAGGTTTCCATTTCATGTCTTAGTGAGTATTTAAATGTTCAAAAACCTACAGGGGAGATGTCAGGGGATGTGGGAGAAAAGCCAGCAGCCTTCTTCAGCCAATGTCTAAATGGGGTTACTGAACTATTATGCCATCTTATTCCTTTATCACCTCCCCATGTGGTTTTGATGACGGAATTGAAGAACAGGTATGTTTTAATTTAGCGGGGTGATTCCAAATGTTCGAGATTATTGTGTCTTAAAAGATACCCAATGTAACCCAGGTAGTCCAGAAAATGATCTTAAACTTTCAAACCTTCCAGATTGTTATCTGCCAATGTCCAATGGATTGATAAGCTGAATGCTAATTGTGTCAAGAAAATAATAGGGTTTGCTTCTTAGTTTTCCCAAATTATCTGGATATCCCACATAAAATAATTGACTTAAATTTAATTATTTGAACACTGATATTGGTACCCACCACTTCCATTTTAAAACACTCTTTGTTATGTGATTAAAGGATGGCCTCTGAAGAATTTGCTTTTCAGACCTGGGATAAAGCTATGGACATGCATATCATGTTTCTTTTCTTTTTCAATCACCATTCTTACAGGACAAGAGAATGACCCAACAAAGAGTGAAGTAAAAATTGAGACAGAGTCCCCAAGCTCATCTATGGAGACAGAAGGTACTGAAAGCAGAGTATATTGATACAGTGTTAGCAGGAATGCAATGAAATTGTGAACTGTGACATCTCTATAAAAAGCATGTGAGTTGTGTGTGTGTGTGTGTGTGTGTGTGTGTGTGTGTGTGTGTGAGAGAGAGAGAGAGAGAGAGAGAGAGAGAGAGAGAGAGAGAGAATATATGGATGAGAGTCTGTTAATGTGTGGGAATGTATGTGAATCTTTGTGAGTACATATATGTGAACTGTGTGTGTGTATTGGACTCTGTGTGTTGAGTGTGTGGACTCTGTGAGTGTGTATGTGTGTGTATTATGTGAACTCTGTGTGTGTGCATACATGTGTTTGTGTTTGTGTGTGTGTGTGAGAGAGAGAGAGAGAGAGAATATATGGATGAGAGTCTGAATATGTGGGAATGTATGTGAGTCTGTGTGAGTACATGTATATATATATGTGTATGAGTGTGAGTGCATATATGTGAACTCTCTGTGTGTGGACTTTGTGAGTGTGTATTGTGTGTGTACTATGTGAACTGTGCGTGTGTGTGTGTGTGTGTGTGTGTGTGTGTGTGTGTGTGGTGTGGTGGATTGAGAGACAGCATTCAGCTTTGTGTGAGTCTTGAATCTTGGAAAGTTACAAAAAGAGCTGCTCTGTCACCATAATGTTTTCTCAATAATTTCAACTTAAACATCCTCGAATCTCCTTCTGTCTCCTTACATTTAGAGCTTCCATCAAACCAAGAAGATGCCACAATTGTGGAGCAACCAGAAGTGATGCCCCTGACAGATGACCAAGAAGAGCAGGAAGGTGGAGAAGGTAGGAATCCTCCTAAGTTAACCCATCTCAAATAGAGTTCTGTAGACACCTGCATGGAATCCAACTACCAAAGCTGTCCTTCAGAGCTGCAGCCAGAAAGAAGAGAAATGAACTTGTCTGTAAACTTGAACCTGTTTTTGAACTAGAGTAAGATCCAGAAGTAACAAAAGGTATTACTGGCAACACTTCTCTCCTTCCAAATAGAATGAAGATGTATTTGCTATTCATTTAGATTTCATTTAAAGTTTGAAACTCCAGCAATGAGAAAGTCTGTAAGAAATCAAAATCATGAGATCAAGAAATGAAGTCCTAGGAAAAATGAAAAGAACAAATAGATCAAACCTTTTGCACTGAATTCATCCTGCCTTCCTTTGAATGGTGATGATTAATTAAAGAGACACATAAAACTGCTCATCCTCTGATCTAAATTGTAAACCTTGCCTGCTAATCTTGGAATAGAATAACATTGAATCCTAGTTAAGAAGTAAACTAAATCATAATGATTTCTACCATGATAGATGATATAAATAATTGATAAATAATAAAATATTGGGGGAAAGAAGATTGTATAAAATATCAGAGTAATTTAGTATTTATAGAAGAATTGGAAGACACTTTAAAGGTTCATGAAATAATTTGTTACATCATCTAATAAGTCATAGTGTTCTTAAGTAGGTATTTGCAATAGCAGTCACAGCATCGTCACTTGGTAGACCTTGTTTGTGGGACACCATGATCAATTTTCCTTCAAAATTAAAGCACAGACATGATCTCAATTGTAAAATCAGGTCAATTGCAAGTACAGATTCCAAGTTATGAACACCTCTTGGCAGGAGCATTGATGTCATTTAATTGCTGAGCTACGTTAGTGATTTTGACACTTGAAACTCCACTCTATTTATCTCATCTCACTCTTCTTCTGTATCTTTGCTATTTTCTTCTCAATTTGAAATCAGACTTCAGCCTCATGACACCATGTTTGCAGCAAGTCAAATGAATGGCATGTCTGGTCTGACAAGGACCTTCACTCAGACTCAGATACATATGTGCTGAAAAGCTAGGTATAGGAACTTTCCAACTTTTCAGTTCTACCTACCACCAAAACAAAACAGACACAATGCATGCCCATTTGCTTAATTTTTCTCTTGAGGAAATTGTCTTCATACAGTACCTGAAAACACAAATGGATTAGAGATCATTAAACAACTTAGAAATTCTCTTCTTTGTAATTTGACCTATAGAGGAATCCAACAGCCTACTGTGAAATCTTTCTGTAATGATCAAAAAGTTAGGGGTTCATTTTCCCTGTCTTCTTTGTAGGTAGTCAACTCTCTTCTGCTAGTGTTAGGACAAAATGTGGGAAGCCAAGGACATTGTGTTCTAAAATTGTAGCAACTTACTTTGAGCCTTTAAGGTAAAAGAGCAACACCCTGGGCATGAATTAACCATCTTTTCCCTTCCTGTCTATCACAGATATTTACATGCCACGTCTTGGACATTCTAGAGTTTAAATTGAAAATACTTTGAATGTGTTGCCTCTGTTATCTTATTCTTTGTGTCAGCAGAAAAGTGGAAAGCTATTCTGTTACATAGAAGACAAGTGATTCTGCTGTACTTATGTTGTGAAGAATAATCAGACTGGGTAAACTATAAGGGAAAGGCTCATTTGGGCTCATATTTCTGAAGACATAAGGCCTGCACCTGGTGGTGATCTTCTAGCTGGCAAAGTCCTGAGACAATACAGGCCCAACATGGAAAGAGACAGGGAGTATATGTGCCTTTCGTGTAGGCCTGTGTATGTGTGAGTACATATGTGTGGCTATATGTGTGTGAGTGTTCACATGTCCATGCATGTGTGCCTACTCTCTCCCTCTTCTTATAAAGTCATTATGATTCCGTTACAGATGATTCAGCTGAATGACCTTGACCCACTTCTAAAAAACACAATCAGATTAGATTTCCACCCATTTAATTCCCAACAATGGGGACTGAATTTCAACATGTGAAGCATTGGGAGACACCCAAACCATAGTAGCACCCAAAAGAAATGAAGACAAAGTAAACTAGTTTACTAGTAAACTAGTAGCCCTGGTGAGTCACTTCCATAACAATGACAACTGGGTGACATTGATGACTTATTTATCGTATCTACGTCAGGGTCCTCATGTTTATGACAGTGATGACCAAAGTCACTGACACACCATTTACTGTGAACATTTAACCAATAGCATATGTCAAACAATTGCAAAAGGACATGGCACATAAAGTATTTAGTGTTTAGCCCAATTTGATTAATTGAAGATAAAGATGAGAGACTCCACAAGGAAGTTTTCCAAGGCCATCCATTGCTTTCCATAACTATCAGAATCAATAAGAGTTTCAAATATACTACTATCTTCAGCAACAAATAATCACTCAGATTTGATTGACAGAACCATATTATAAAAGTAGTATGATATGCTGGTGGACTATTTACCTGATGATTTATTTTATCCTATAGAAATGGAACTATTAGTGGATGATAAGGTACAAGAGTTCTCTCACCTAAAACTGGCTTTTCTTTGTTAAGATCTCAGTGTTGTATTTCAGAAATAATAATAAAATCATGATCCCAGTTTTTTTAAGCAAGATGCAATTGAACTATTAGTAGTTCCCCATGAGGAGGTCAATGAGTAAATCCAAGGTGCTTACATTTATTTTGCTCTCTTGAGATTCCAATAGCTATTAAAGAGTCTGGTTTGAAAAAATTTTAAGACTCTGGTTTTTTTTTTTTGGTTTTTTTGAGACAGGGTTTCTCTGTGTAGCTTTGGAGCCTCACAGAGATCCACCTGCCTCTGCCTCCAGAGTGCTGGGATTAAAGGCGTGTGCTCCCAACGCCCAGCACATTTTAAGACTCTATCTCCAGGTTTTGTGCAAACTCATGAAGGCATCTCTTAGTGGGAAGATATGCATATTTGTTATTAATTAAATATGACCAAATAAATTAATACCCTATTCTATTCATAGAAAATGTTCTTTGTCTTTTTGAAAAAACTTGTTCTCTTTTAATATGAGAACCTTTTAACTGAGGCAGACAGTGGTTCCTTTAAGAAATACTTTTCAACACCAGGAAAAAAATGTACAACATCTTTCATTCACTTTGCAGCATTTTATAGGATTAGAAAATGTAGATAATCTTCAGGACACATCTTCTATGGCTCCCAGGTGTATGCGCACAGATGTTGCAACATTAAGTTTTGAAGTTAGAGCGTCCAAAATATGGATCTTTAAAGGAAGGAAAATATTCAGCAGAAGTTCATGCTGATAAAATTACACAATAGCACAATGGACATCTCCCTGGGAGACCTGAACGACAGAATTTTCAACAGGCAGAGAGTGAGGTTTCGCATATGGCGGCTCTACTCATAGAGCCCATCGCCTCCTCCTAAATGAGGCAGGTTTATGCTTTCCCAGCAGGATCAGCAATGCATTTAAAGTGTAGAGAAATGCCATTCTTTAGGTTAATAACTAAATAGGAAGAGATATAGGGGATGCTTGCTAAAAAGGATCTCATGTTTTGTATAAAATTTCATAAGATTTTTTTCTCCTCATCAAATTTAGAAGTTTTTGTCATAAAGTTTAATGATACCAACATTTTATCATTATAAAAGCCAGAATTTTCTGCTTGTATTTAATATGCATGTTGAACTTTTTATTCAAGGTTTACTCAGAGTGCAGACATTCATTCTCAATTATTTTTCTTCTAACAAACAATTAATTAGTACAATGTGGAACAGCAACACATTACCTGTTTACTTAAGGTTGACCAAAATTGTTTGGGAACTTCGAGTGTCTATATCCTTAGGACTTCTTGGAGAAAGACTGCAGGTGAAATGCTGTGTGTGAACCAGTGATGGACATGAACTTTTGTTTAATGGTCACACTTTTCAACTGGAAAAGTAGGTCCAACTTCAGTAGGACCATGAAACACATACAGGAGCCATGCCATGTATCCTGACTGTATGGTTGCTGGCAAATCTTTTAATGTCTAAGCATTGCCATTTCTAAGGTAGTAACCAGAGGCATGGGCTCAATAACAGAATTCTAAGGTTTCAATTTATTCCATCTTCAAAGAAGGCTGACTCTGAAGGACATATTCTTGATCGAAAATGTCTGATAACATTGGAAGTGATTGTCAACAATACACTCAACACTGAAATAGTGGGGTTTCTCTAGTTTTACTTATTTTATTCTGTTGGTAAAAATGCAAAGGCTCCTTAGGCCATTCACCAAAATAGCCAGAATAACCAAATTTTACATTAGGACCAATAAAAAGCTATTCATAAAGATATATAAGTGAGGGGGTATGCCATTTTGCTTAAGTTGGATTTATACAGATTCTGCTCAGATCCACCTTTTCATCATCATATTTTTTTTAAAGTGCATGGGAACATTCTTCCTGGCAGCCCCTCTGGCCACCTTTGCATATTTCAATGGCTATCTAGTAAGCCAACCACGTATTCTTCTGCTGCTTACCAGCCTGACCCATTAGAGGTTTGTCTTGTCTGTAGGGCACCAGTTCTCCACCCTTGGTGTTTTCCATTATTGATGGCATCCCCACATGAGTGACCATACTGTTCTGTCTTTCCTTGGAAAGTACTGCCTGAACCAGCAATGTAGCCTCATGTCAGATCACTAACACCGGGGCTTCCATAGCCAGCCCTTGCTGTGCTAATGATAACCAGGGTAGTCAGTCTTTCTTCTGATTTGTGAAAAAATATTACATAAAATCGAATAATAAATACTGCTCAGAACTGGCCTGGGTTTCCATCTCTATCCTGAATCTTGGATAATAGAGTAACTTCCTGGAACTTCCCATTTCAGAGAGACTGTGTTTTGTTCTTTTCAAAAGAACTCAGCTGAACAAGGCTGTGATTCTGTTTCCTGGGGGCAGTTTCATTCCAGTGACTTTCTTCTGTTACTCCATCTCTCTCTAATCTTACTTTCCAGAAATTTTCAAC